TTTTTTGGGTCAAAGCTTGAAAATAATATGCTTTATTTATTCCATAAAAAAACACAAGATCCAGAGCAAACGGTTGACACTCAGACCACGTGTTCCAGGTAAAAACATTATTTCCCATCTTTCAGCGGCGGGCGATAACAAGAGCTGCATCGTTGTGAGCCTTTCTCCCACTCCAGCCATCTTAATCTGGCAAACGGTTCTGGAGCACCTGCATCCGTCCAGCCTGACCCGCTATTGTTCTGCTCCGACCCCCTAACTTTAGTCCTTAATGAACCTAACAGAAACTAATTAAATACAGCTCTAGTGGACCAGATGCCAAAGTGGATGTGGGGGAGGAGGGAGGAGGTGAGTGGAGTAAGAGGAGCAGGCCAAAGTGACAGGCAGGAATAGGTGAAAGGAGTCCAAAAACTTGGCCTATTGATGCTGAGTGTGGTTCTGAAATTTAAAAAACTAAATAAAACAGGTTCCTTCTCTTCACACTGACCAAATACTTCTTCACACGCTACTGTTTTCTGAAGATATTTCAGGTTCTTCCCTGTACATAAAGACGTCTGCCAAAAGCTGTAATCACAAGCGCACCAGTCACATGATGCAACCGACACCCTGGAGATATTTGGAAAAGGTTTGAGACAGAATGGTGAGAGCAGCCGAGAGACAAGAGAGTGAAAGCAGGAGAGAGGGAAAGAAAAAAAACAAGAGGAATGTAGWGGTGGAGGGGAGGCATGAGATGGGTTTGTGAGAAAGAAGATACTGTATAAGCCTAAATAAAAAAAATAGGCTCAAAGCAGCCAAATGTCGCTGGCAAGACACTTGTGCTCCAAGACCCAGACGCAGCTCTGAGTGATGGGTAACGTAATTAAGAGAAGCCTGTTCAATGAGATACAAGCCTGGAAAGGAGATTTGAAGGAGGGGACTGATTGTGCATGTCTGATTCCAGCTCTTCTGTGAGTTTTCAGCCTCAAGGCTCAGCTGTAGAAGAAGTACCTCACTCTGATTCCATCCTGATTCCATCTCTGTCTTTTGTGATATATATATATATATATATATATATATATATATACTGTATATAATCTGTTAAAAGTGAGAAAATACCAAGAAATGCATTCAAATATTTTGTTCCCACAACACTGGTTTAACAAGAAATAGAAATAGGCTCCTCTAAGAGCATTGTTGCATTGTAAGGCCTGACCTGGCCCGGCCCAGTTTGGGTTAAAGCCCATGTTCTTTGTATTTATATTGGACATTATGGCTTACTTCCAGCCTGATTTCTTGAATCCAGAGATTTGGGGTTARCTACCATTAGTTTAGTCGTCTGACCTCTTTAGGATTCAAGGAATCAAGGAGACTTTATTGTCATTCGCATCGCATGTAGTACGGAATTTGTATTCTCACAGTCCAGTTAAACTCATAAGAAATTTTAATACAGATACAATGGATAAAAAAATAGAATAAAGTAGAAAAAAAGGTGAAGTAAAGTAAAAGTTTAGCTTCATACTGCTGGATAGTCCGGTACAGTCTTTGGTACCTTTCTGCTTCTATCAGCACCTCCGCCTTCTCTCACTCTGTTTGTAGCTGCTCTTGAATTACAGCGAAGAAAAGTACTGTATATATACTGTAAATATATACATACATACATACATACATAAATACAGTATTTACTGTATACATATAAAAGACTATCCA